AAAATCACAATTAAAGGAAAATCTTATTTAAACAAAAACACAGGAGCCTGGGACCATGTCTGACTTCAAAGAAACTGGCTTTTAGTTGCTGATGGTATTGGTGGGGATTCTCCCTCCTTGTACAATTAGGGAGCGGTAACACACTGCCACCCCTCAAGTCAACTACCGTGTTTTTACAGAGCTGTATCGGGGCGGGGGTGGCGGGGGGGATCAATCTCCATTTACTCAATGCAAAAAGCATATTATTGCTTTTTAAGCAAGCCTTTAATTCCACATTTCTGACGTTAAGAGGATTCTCCTCTCAACTTACTGCCACTGAGGCAGAAGTGTGTCATGGCTGAATATCCAGCAGGTTTTTGGAAGGCTGTAAATCACACGGGAAGAGACTGTCCAGCTTCCTACTACAGTCACTGGTGGAGTCAAAGCACCAGACTGCATGGACTTGAGTTAGCAGTACATCTGCCAAGGTCTAGGCCGCCACGGCTTCTCCTAAGAGGATCAGTCTGCCACAGCAAGTAAGTAAACTGTTAGGGAAAGTGTCATAAGCCCTTAGTCATATGCCTTTGATCTAGAAGAAGGACTATAGCACTCACATGCTAATTAATCCTCTCATATTTTCAGTTTTTTCTTTGCTTTAAGTATTTTACTCTTGGTGGGGAACTCTGGAGATTTAGTGTTAAGAAACTGCACTGCAATCCCAAAGGCACACGGTTCAAATCCATCAGCTGCTCCAAGGAAGAAGGATGGACAATCTCTGTACATGCAATTAATTGCCTCTGAAAACCCACTGAAGGGTCAACTACGGATTGGTTCTAACGCCACAGTACACAATAAGTGTTAAAAGAATGAAATCTGAAAGAATGATCTACTGCAATAAGTATGCAAAGTAAGGAAATAAAAACTTGCTTTTTATATACTTTATCAGCTCATTATCTCTAGTTAGCATGGATGAAAGTTATACGTTAAGTGCATTTAATTAGTATTAAATTTAATTACTGATAAAATAAGTACATAAAAATAAAAGGATTAGTGGATAGTCTAATTTGAGCCAACATGTCAGTTAACAGCTACCAGAGTTCTTTCTTGATGTTACTGTTGTTGTTATGTGCACTTGAATTGCCTGCAACTCATAGCTATGCTAAAATACAATAGCTCTGAACAATATAATGAAATATGATAGGACAGGATAGGATAGGATAGGATAGGATAGGATAGGATAGGATAGAATAAAATGTTGCTGTTGTTATGTGCCCTCGAGTCATTTGCGACTCATAGCGACCCTAGGTACAACAGCCCTAAACCCTGCTCTATCCTGTGCCAATCTCATTGCCTCTGACACACCCATCCTGAGTACCCCAGTCACTGAATCAATCCACCTCATAGGGGGCCTTCCCCTTCTGCACTGTCCCTCCACCCTCCCAAGCATGATGTCCCTCTCCAAAGACCTGTCTCTCCTTACAACATGTCCAAAGTATGTCAGGCGAAACCCTAGAATCCTTACCTCCAAGGAGCAGCCTGGTTTAACCCTCTCTAGGATGAATCTATATAATGAAATACAATAGCTCTGCTATAATACGATGTCAAATCTCTGCTCTGAAAAATGTTCAATCCTGAGCCAGGCTCACTGACTCCAACAAAATTTACTCCACTGCCCCAGTTACTGTGTCAATCTGTCTCCTCTGGAGTCTTCCTCTCCTGTGCTACCCACTTCCCTTCCAAGCATGATGTCCTTCTCCAAGGACTGGTCTCTCCTGGCCAGGCGAGACAGTATGTGAGTCTGTGAGACACAGCTTCTAAATACTAGCCTCCAAGGAGAAACCTGGTTTCACCCTCTTTAGGACAGATCTATTTGTTCTCTTAGTGATCTGTGGTATGTATGTTCAAGACTTTTCTCCAGCACAACTCAAAGGCATCAATTCTTCTGTCATTCTTCAACACTGTCCAGTTCTCTGATGCACAGCAAGCAACTGCGAAGACCATGGACTGGATCAGGTGTACCTTAGTCTCTTCACTGATACTTTTTGCTTTTTAGCACTTCGGAAAGGTCCCTGCAAACAGACTTCCTAGTACAATTTTTCCTTCTGATTTCTTAACTCTGGTGCCAAGAGTGCTCACTGTGGAGCTGGATAAGCTGAAATTGTTAACATCAATCTCTTCTCCATCTACTCTAGTGCTGCCAGTTGGCCCAATAGTAAGAATCTTTTTCCTGAGGTTGAGCTTCTATCTATATTTAAGACTACAATCGAGAAAATGCTTCACATCCCTTCTCAGTGTCAGCAAGCAAGGTTGTGTCTTCTGCATAATGCAGGCTGTTGATGAGTCTTTCTCCAATCTTGATGCCAAATTTCTTCTTGCTCATAAAGTCCAGCCTCTTGAATGATCTGCACACAGAATGAAAAGTTACGGAGAAAGGATTCAACCCTGATGCACTTCCTTCCTGATTATGAACATAAAATGTTTCCTTGCTCTGTTCAGAGGATTGTTTCCTGGTCCAAGGATAGGTCTTGTATGAGCACAATCAGGTGTTCTGGGATTCCCATTCTTCTCAAGGTTAGTCCATTTGTTGTTCTTTACAGTCAAATAGTAGTCAATGAAACACAGATAAATATTCCTCTGGAACTCTTTGCTTTCAGCCAACATCCATGTGACACTGTCAATAATGTCTCTAGTGCCATGGCCTCTTCTAAATCCTGGTTGTGTTTCTGGTAGTTTTCTGTCAATGTACTGTACCAGTCATTCTGCTTGGGTGTAATATTAGTGATACTGTCCGATAATTTCCACACTCTGTCAGGTAACTTTTTTTGGGATAGGAATAAATATGGATCTCTTCCAGTCAATTGGCCTGGTAGTTGCCTTCCAAATTTCTTGGCCCAGCCTGGTGAGCATGTTCAGCATGTTTGTGGAAATATGTCAAATGGTATTCCATCAGTTCTAGAGGCTTGTTTTGCCACATCCTTCTAAGCAGCTTTAATGTCCTCCATCACCACTACTTCTTGATCATATTCTTTCATAAAACTCTTCTGTGCCACCAATTCTTTTTGGTAGCGTGGTTCTGTGTACTCCTTTCTTCTTCTAATGCTTCCTGGATCATTCAATATTCTCTCCAGAGCACCCTTAAATATTGCTATTCAAGGCCTGAATTTGTTCTTCAATTCCTTCAGCTTAAGAAATGCTGAGCAAGTTCATCCCTTTTGATTTCCCAACTCCAAATCTTTGCATGTTTCATTATAATATTTTGTCTTCCTGTGCTATCTTGGAAATCTTCTATTTAGCTACTTAACTTCTTGATTTCTTTCCTCTGCTTTAGACACTCTTGTGCAATATTCTGTCTCTTTCGACATCCATCTTGGTCTTTTCTTCCTCCTTTTTTTAATGAGATTTTGCATTCTCTTCGTGGATGATATTCTTGATATCCTCCCATAGGTCATCTGCTCTTTAGGTCATCTGCTCTTTAGTCATTAGTGTTAAAGGCCTCAAACCTGTTCCTGAGATGGTTTTGAAATTCAAGTGAGATAGACTCAAGGTCAACTTTTGGTTCCTGTGGATTTAACTTTCTTTAGCTTTAGCTTAAATTTGCATATAAGTAGTTGATGTTCCACAATCAGAAGCCGGCCTAGTTTTCATAGATGATACTGAGCTTCTCTAGTGATTCTTGACACAGATGTAATCGATCTGATTCCTGTGTATACCATCAGGTGAAATCGATGTATATAGTTTATGTTTCTTTTTTTAATTTTTTTAAGTTTATGTGTCTTACAAAAGGTATTTGCAAAGAACAAATCATTGACTGTACAAAACTTCTATCATTCTATCGCTAGCCTCATTTATATCAAGTCCATGTTTTCGGCTATTGAAATTTCTTTCCTGTTCCCAACTTATGCATTCATATTACTAATGCATCTTTGTTGCACCTTTGATTTTAGACTGCAAAAGTTGCTTGGTATGTGCCACTGAGTCAACTATGACGCATAACGATCTTATGCACAGCAGTTTTGAAACCTATTTTCTCTTGATTCAATCTCACTGTCTCTGACACACCTATCCTTACTACCCCAATTACTGTGTCAATCCATTTCATCTGGGGTCTTCCTCTCCTGCATTGTCCTTTGATCCTTCCAAGCATGCTATCCTTCTCCAAAAAATTATCTCTCCCCGTTATATTCCAAGTATGTGAGACGAAGTCTCAAAATCCTTGCCTCTAAGGAGCAGCTTGGTTTCACCTTCTCTAAGACAGACCTGTCAGTTTTCTTGGCAGTCCATTGTATGTTCAATACTCTTTCAGCACAATTCAAAGGCATCAATAATTCTTCTGTCATCCTTGGTCATTGTCCACCTCTCCATTACATAGCAAGTAAGCATGAAAACCATGGCCTGGATCAGGTGCACCTTAGTCTCTAGAGTGACATCATTGCTTTTCAGCACTCTGGAGAGGTCCCAGACAGCAGATTTTCCTAGTGGAATTTATCTTTTGATTACCTCTTCTTTGGCTCTGGTTGTTGGTGCATGACAGTGGTGTATACTGAACTTCCTTGTATGCATATGGATATTATCCTGTTACAACATTGCATTTCAAGATGGATCTAGAAATAACTGTGAAAGTGACCCTGTTTTCCCCTCACCTTTTCACCTGTTATTGCTTAATTCTAAAATCAATATATGTTTCCCAAAGTCCTTGCACATACATGATACTGTTAGTTCATCAATACCACTTCAATTTCTTAGCAAGAGAAAGGTTAACTATCTATTCAATCTATTACTCAAATACTATAGTTATCTACTCAGAGACAATTCTATATACCAACCAGATGCCAACATTATTCACATATGCAATATATAGATGGTCCAATTTTGCTTTGTAATACTGCTTCGTTGCTATGAGTTTAGGAATACTACACCTGGCTGACCAGTGTAGTGATGACTAAAATATTATATGTTATTACTATTATTTTTGTAATTATACTTTATTACTGCTAAAATTATAAGTAAATTGGTAACAAAACCTTTTCTGGAGTGGCAAGAATTCCCCACGAACAGCCTGTGGGTGGCAGCAGGCCTGCCGGAGCCTGAGAAGTGGATACAAGATTGAAGTGACTGTCCGTCTGTCCAGACTGCTGAGCTTCAGAGCCCAATCAGAAATCTTCCTGAGCTTTGCCACAGCATCTTGGCAGCACACCTCATGCTGGCGGTGATAAAAATGCCTCTCCACTGGAGAAAAGTGGAGCCAGTGAACTTCCTCTGTCTGAGGTGGTATCTGGATCTAAGGGGAGGAGAAAATGATGATTTCAATTGTAAAGATAACTTCCCACTTCAACCCCGCTGCTTTTTTCCCTTCATGTCCTTAAAACATAAAAAAATTATGCTACTGACTTGGTCAATCACATCTTTCTTTGCCGACCTCCACATTATCTTGGCAATAAAGCTGTAGAGGGGTTGAGGATTCTTCTTGCAGTAAGGACGATAGAGAAGTCGAACCCACCAGTGTCTCATACAGTAAGGCTCAACACCAAGAAAGACCACTAACCCAAAAAGGTCTGGAAAGAAAAACAAAATCAAAGCATCAAAAAGCAGTTGTGTCTCAAAAGGACAAATCCTCCCTGAGCCCCACCCACTGACCACCACTGAGTTGATTTTAATTCATAACGATCCTACCGGACAGATCAGAGCTTCTCCATGAGGCTACTAAGGTTGTAAAATGTCTTGGACGTGGACCATCACATCTTTCTCCCACAAAACAGTCAGTGAGTTTAAACACTGACCTTCTGCTTAGCAACTAAGTGCTTAACCACTGTGCCACAAGAGCTCTTCTGACTGTCCCAACTTAAGTGAAATATCTACAATAGAGAAAATCAAACACACTGAAGTTCATTAGTGTCTTAACAGAGGAAGGTTAGGGAGTTCTAGTGGCAAGAAGCTGTGCTACAATCCCGAAGGCACACAGTTTGAATCCATCAACTGCTCTGAGAGAGAAGGATGGGCAGTCTCCTGTGTGATTAAGTGCCTCTGAAAACCTGCTGGAGGGTCAGGTTCTGACTGATGGTACAAAACAACAGAGGAGGGTAGAAGGGGGAAAGAGTGAATTATTGATCTCATGAGGGCTACTCAGTTTCTTTTAATGGTGAAAAAATTGGGAACAAGGAGTTTGATGGCTGCATACCATGAGAAACGGAATTAATGTCACTGTACATGTAAAAATGGCTCAAACAGCAAATGTCTTTTATTTTTTTTAATTATTGTTTTATTATTTTTTGTGTGTGTACCCTCAAATCAGATCAGACTGGTACAGGAGGAGACTGACCCTCCTCCTCCAGCTGAGCACCTGGTGGATTTGAACCGCATAGTTTAACACAATTTAAAAAAAAAAAAAAAAAGAATCTTTTCTTTATCTTCACTAGTTTGAATAATCACATTCAGAGCCATGACACACTCATAGTAGTTTTCATGAATTAAAATGTTGACTGCACAGGCCTTTGAAATTCAAATATAATCCAATTTGCATTTATCTACCATCTGCTTGGCTCTAAATTCTGTGTTAAGTTCTAGAATGTTATAAAGTTTAAAATCGTTACATAAAACTTGAGCTTAATTTAAAAAGCTAAAAATTCCATCAGAGATAAAATCAGAGTATTACTTAGTTGCTTCTGTCTGATCAGGAGACACATAAAAAGTATGTTTGAAAGTAAGTACAGATAAGGCTTGCTGGACTAGAGAGGAGTTCTGAGCACAGAGATAATGTGGATAAATTTTCTGGTCCAATATTCCTCCTACTCTTTCCTGAGGTACATGGTTCGAATCCACCAGCTATTCTGTGGGAGCAGGGTGGGCAATCTCTTCTTGAGCGATTCACTGCCTCTGAAACCTGCTGGAGGGTCAACTATGGGTTGATTCCAACTCGATGGCATTCAACAGTACAACAACTTAGTAAGTATATTTCCAAGAAATAAGCCTAATTTAAAAAAAACAAAACCAAAACCAACCCAAATATTCATTTATCATACAGTGATATTCATTGCAAAAAATCTAGAAATAAATTATGGTATCTCCATAAAATGAAAAGATAACTTTTTCTCAATTCTGAAGTATATGGAAAAATGCTTGTGATACAATGTTAAGTGGGGAGATAAAAATGGACCCTAAAATTATGCATGTATATAAACTTAAGCACAAGCAGAAGACACAAGAACTGTCACTGTATATTCAAATGAAGACTATGGCTGAGAATATTTTTCTTTTTATATTTGTTTTGCTGAAAATTTTCCACAATGAGTATTTTTTTTAAAAACCCACCAAACCCCGACAGACACCACAAACACCCCCCCCCTTATACTACTATACTATAAAAGGAATTCTGGTGGTCCAGCAGTAAGAAGCTGCTACAATCCCAAAGGCACCAGCTGCTCTGTGGGAGAAGGATGGTCAGTCAATTAACTACCTCTGAAAACCTGCTGGAGGGTCAGCTACGGGTTGCTTCTGACTCAACAATACACAACAATGACATACTGTAAAAAAGAGCAAGGGCCTCGTGGGGATGGCCATATCTGAACCCTATCAACTTCACAAAGGGGAACTTGTCCCCATCAACTACATCAAACCAATCTCCATGAGGTCAGACTTGACCCCCACCCGCACCCCATGCTCCTGCACCTCTTTCTACTCTTCCCAATACCAATCTTAGCGTTTTATTTGGTCCAAAATCCCAAGTCATAGCTCACAGACTACACAAAACCATACTAGGGAAGCTAAAAGGCTACAATTCAGGTTAGTAGCAGCACAGAGTCGGGACAGCTTCTGAAATGAGCTCACAGCTGCCTCAGCCTTAAGCCTGTGGCACTGAGCCAGAGTTACTCACAAAGCTCGAGGTCCTGCCAATATTGGCTTTCCCTTCCACCCAAGTTGTCCAAGAAACTTGGGCAAAGGCTCTTAGTTTAGTTTGTAGGGGGCAGCAGTTCTGCTCCATCCCATATCAGGTTTCTGGTTCTCCACTCTGGCTGCTACGCCTGTTGCTCTCTCTGGCCCGAAAGGTCAAGCTGCATTCTCTTGCTTGCTCATCTTTGCTAGCAGAGGCATCTTCTTTGTGTTTTTGGATCAGCTCACGTTAATGGTGAGACTAGCCAATGTCCTTGTGGACCAATGAGACTGTCAGTCAGTCCTCTCATGGATGGGGCAGGGGTGGGGGGGAGATGGCCAATCCCTTTGCATATTCCCGCCTATCCACATGGAAGGGCAACGTCAAGCAATGGCTAGAAGAGCCATTTGGAATAAACCCTTACCTCCACATATTGTAGAATTTTCCCACTGTATCATAAAATGAATGTTATTTTTGAAGCGTATGAGAGAATCATTGCTTATGATTATTTAACTACATAAAGAAAAAATTCAGACAATAAAGAATCACAAAAGACAAGTTCTTTGTGTTGGGTCAACCTCAGAAGAAACAGAAATACATAGGAAACAGGAGCAGCAGGATCCAACGGAAGCTGGAAAAAAGAAAAACAAACCCACAAGTCCTTAAGAACCAAAATGTGACCTGAAGTCTATCCTAACTGAATTTCAAAAGGATCTCAAGGAAAGACTTGATGCGCTGAATTCTAACAACCAAAGAAAAATCAGATGAGTTGTGGGATGATAGACATTAAGGACATCTGTAATGGAAGCAGAAAAGTCATTACAATGATAGGGAAGAAAGGGAAGACCAAATAGTTGTCAGGAGAGACTCTGGACCTGCATTAGAACAGAGCCAGGCCAAAATAACGGGAAGAAATGCTTAAATAAAAGGGATGAACAGCTGATTTCAAAGGGTAACTAAAGATAACAAAATAAGAATTATAATGAAATGTGCAAAGAGCTAGAGTCAGAAAATAAAAATAAGAACATGCTCAGTATCTCTCAGGCTGAAAGTAGTGAAGAAGAAATTCAAGCCTTGCGTTGTAATACTGATAGATTCTATAGGCAAAACTTTGGATGATACAGGAAGCATCAAAGAAGATGGAAAATATACCCAAAGGCACTGTTCCAAAAGAACTGGTGGACACCAAACCCTTTTAGGAAGCAGCATATGATCAAGAACCAAAGTAATTAAGTAAGAAGATCAAGCTTCACTGAAGGCATTGGCAAAAACAAGGCTCCAGGAATGGACAGAATACCAACTGACATGTTTCAACGAACAGATACGGATCTGGATGTACTCACTAGCCTATGCCAAAAAATTAGGAAGAGTTACCTGGTCAAATGACTGAAGAGTTCCTATAAGTTCTCATTAAAAAAAAACAAAACCAAACAAACATGATACAACCAAATGTCATTATAAAAAAACCAGCATTAATATTACATACAAATAAAATTTTGCTAAACTTTATTTTAAAATGGCTGGAACAGTATATTACAATAACAGGGAACTGCCAGAAATTCAATCTTGATTCAGAAGAGGCTCTGGAATGAGGGGATATCATTGCCGACATCACACAGATCTTACGTGAGAGCAGAGAATATAAAAAAAAAAATAATAATTTTGTTGCTGTTTATTTTGTTGTTAGATGCTGTTGAGTATGACTCATAGTGACCCTGTGAACCAAAGATCTTAACCTTGTTTTATCATGCGCCATCCTCACGCTTCCTGATATAAAAGAGTCCTCTGTTGCAGTCAATTCATCTGGTTGATGGTCTTCTTCTTCCATCAACCTTTCCCCCTTCCTAGCATCACGTCCCTTTCCACGGAACAGCCGCTCCTAGCTACTTGCCTAAAGCATTTGAGGAAAAGACTCATCATTCTTGCCTTCAAAGAGCACTCTGGCCGCACCCTCTCCAAGACATACTTACAGCATATTCAGTGCTCTTCCCGTCCATAGGAAGTCCAATACTCTTCTCTAACACCACAGCTCAAAGGCGTCCATTCTTTTCCTGCCATCCTTATTCACTGTTCAGTTCTCAGATGCATAGCAAGTGACTGGAAAGACTATTGCCTGAATCAGATGCACCTTAGTACTCAAACTGACATTATTACTCTTCAATAAATTTGGAGGGGTCCCTAACTGCAGATTTCGCCAGTGTGTTTTATTGCCTATGTAAGGGCATGAAACTGTGTGAATCATAACAAATGATGGCCAACATTAAAAATGGGAATTACTGAATATTAATTGTGCTCATGTGAAATCTGTATATAGACCACGAAGCAGCTATTCGAATAGAACAAGGGAATATTGAATGGCTTAAAATCAAGATAGGTGTCTCAGGGTTATACACTGAGCAAATCCTTTGAGAAGGTAGACTATAGGAAAAAACATGACATCAGGATTAGAAGAAGATTCATCAGCAACCTGTAGTATAGAGATCACAAAATCTTGGTGCAGAAAGTGAAGTAAACTTGAAGCACCTACTGAATAAAATTCAGTATTATAGCCTTTATAGGATTATAACTCAACATTAAGAATATAAAAATCCTCACAACTGGACCAATAGATACAGAGAAAAGACAGATGCCGTCAATGATTTAATTTTACTTGGATCCACAATCAACACCTTTGGTAGCAGTCAATAAATCAAAAGGAGTGTTGCACTGGGACAATCTGCTTGTCAAAGACTTCTCTAAAGTGTTAAAGAGCAAAGCTGTCAGTTTAAAGATTAAGGTGTGCCTCACCCAAATCATGGTCTTGTTAGCTGCTTCCTATCCACCTGGAAAGCTGGACAATGAATAAGTAAGACAGCATAAGAATCGATGCCTTTGAATTGTTAGTGAAGAACACTGAATCTACCATGGACTCCTAAAGGAACAAGGAAGTCTGTCTTAGAGCACGTGCAACCCTGCGCTTCTCAGAGGCAAGGATGGTGAGATTCTGTCACACATGCATTTGGCATGTTGTCGAGAGGTGTCTGTCCCTGAAGTCACCAGGCAGGTGGAGGGTCAGAGAAAGAGATTAAGGACTTTAACAAGATGGACTGGCATAGTGAATGTACCAATGAGTTAGGGTAATTTATATGTATCTCTTGAGATATATTTGCCTTATAAGAAAACTACAATCTTGTCAACTCACTTCCTTGTCTATAACCTGCTTGAGGGCAAGGATAGATGAGCAGTGTCAAAGTTAGTCTAACAAAAAACCAGCCAGAAACATGGAAAAAAATGTTAGTACCACAGAAAATCTTTGCAGTGTATCAGAAAATTTTGGAAGAGGAACAATTATCTAAAATCTCTAAGAAAATGGGCTGAAAGAATGCAGAAAACTTTTGGATATGATTATCTTGTGGTAACAGTTTTACTTGAAATTTTAGATTTTAAATATGTATAGTTTCCCTAGTTCATTTATACCACAATAAAGTTGTTTAACTCAAGAATTCACTGAATGCTAACAAGTGTTCAGAACATCTGTTAATGTTTTCTTCAACCAAAAACACGGATCTAGACACCTGAGCATTTGCTGCTTATAGTTTTTCAAAATTATAACTGCAAAACAGAAATCTCAATAACCTCTTTCCCCTCTGTATTTTTTCATCTAACTTTTGAGGTGAATGAAATCTTGCTAATATCTAAATCCTTAAAATTCTGACAGACTCTAAATAGGAATGCAGACTACTAAATTTCATCTCAATCACTGTCAAGGAGCTCTGGTGGCCTAGTGACAAGAAGCTGTGGTGTAATCCTGAAGGCACACAGTTTGAGGCCACTGCTACTCTGTGGGAGAAGGATGGGCAACTTCCTCCCATGTGATTAACTGCCTCTGAAAACTTGCTGGAGAGTTAGCGATGGGTCAATTCTAACTCGATGATCCTCAACAACAATCAGTCTGAAAGTGTTTTTAAATACATACTGTAATATTGGTGTTATGTGCCGTTCAGTTGCTTGTGACTCATAGCGACCCTATGTACAACAGCCCTAAACACCGCTCTGTCCTGTGCCAATCGCCCTGCCTCCGACACACCCATCCTGATTACCCCAGTCACTGAATCAATCC